GCAAAAGTATAGCTAGAAGTTAAATGTAGCGAAAGGCTAGCTAAAAGTCAAACATAGCAAAAGGCTACATTGAAGATAAAATAACAAAAGGCTAGCTAGAAGTTAAATGTAGCCAAGGGACTGTTAAATTATGAAAATAGTCAAATGGCAGCTAAAAGCAACAAAATGTTAGGTATACAATAAAAGTACCAAAAGTCTAGCTAGACACTAAAAGTATCAAATGTATCACTAGAAGCTAAAAGTATGAAAAACTGAAAGTTGCCTAAGGCTGGATGAAATCTCTTAAGTAGCATAATTTGAGCTAAAAGCTCCAAATACCAAACTAGTAGCAAAAAAGCTACAAGTAGTATAAGAAGAAAAAATATTTAGAAAATAATAAATAAAAACCAACAGTCATTTTCCTGAGCACAAACATTTCTCCGTGTTAGTCACAAGCTGCTGAAGACGAATTAAAGAGTTGCATAGAAATAGTTCTCCAGTTATGATTACGTTATCGTTGGTCTGCTGAAACATTCGATCATGTCTGACATTTCTACGTTTCAGAGAGTCGTGGAGAACGAGCCAAAAGGTTGTTCCGTCATTACACCGTCGGGTCCTACGACAGCTTCGACGCTCCCAGGTGAGAACTGAAATCTCTCCATCTGTCAGAGAGTTGAAAACCGAGCTGCCGTCAGCTGTGGCTGAGAACGGAGCAACTTTTTGATTCATAAAGTCACGGTTGTTGTTTGGTTATTTAGCTAGTTGATTGGGCGCCTCTTTCACAAAAGGATGAACGTCTTTGTCCCAAAAAATGTTCAATGGCTGCTTTGGTCCATGGCACATGATGATGCTGTCATTACTAATTGTTTCTCAACTGCTGTTGATGTTTATGATGTTTGCTCAGTGGCAGTCAACACTAAAGAAGCAAAATTGCTACAGAGGAGCACTCTTTCCCTCTGACCCCCCCTCAAAAACTGTTGGTACAAACAACGCAACACAGACGTGTCTCTAGTAAACTAGGGGAAACACTGGTGGTAGTTGCCATGAAGACCTGTGGGGTTCACTCTTTGTGTGTCACGAGGACCCACTCCTCGTGAGAGGTGTGTATTGGGCAGCTACGTGAGCGCCCGGGTGTGACGAAGCTAAATGTTTTGGCGGCAGGAAGCTCGTTAGCCCATTAAAAAAAAAAAAAAAAAAAAATATATATATATATATATATATATATATATATATATAAATAAATTAGCTGCAGGTTTGTATAAGCAAAAAAGTAATGGCTTATAGACTGGAAAGTATGGTATGTTTGGCTAAAAGCCCAACACTGCTAGTGGGCAGACTGGTTCCAAAACTAAAACGCGGCAGCTTCGTAAAGCAGTTCCTTCACTGAGAGAATTCTATGGAACACCAAAATGCTCAAAATTAATTAAATAAATAAAGCATTATGAAATAAGAAAAATTTTCATTTTTATTTTTTTTATTTCATAATTGCGTTTTTCAGCAGAATGGCTTCAGCCGTCAATCAATGTCAGTGGGTTGGACCTGCACGCCCACTGGCTGATCCTTCACATCCATTAGTCTTCCTGCTCACTGGTACAGCTAACAGTGAGTCCTCCCGTGCACGCTCTGGTGTGCGCTCCTGCGGCGCCTATCGATTTTTTTCAGTCCATCACTTTTTGTCACCTGTATCTTCTGAGAACGTAATCCTCTCAGTTTGATCTGCTAAAGTTACCTGAGCTGAACGAAGCTCGTGCAACTCTGCCATCCTTCTTGACTGTTCGCCTAGCAAGTCACTGCTAGCTGCTATGCTAGCTGTACCTGTGAGCAGGTATTCAGGAAGACTAATGGATGTGAAGGATCAGCCAGTGGGCGTGAAGGTCCAACCCACTGACGTTGATTGACGGCTCAAGTCATTCTGCTGAAAAGTAGCATTATGAAATAAACAGTTATGAAAAAAAACATTATGCAATACATAAGCTATCATGAAAAACACAATTATGAAATAAAAGAATAAAAATGCATTTCTTTTTCATAATAATGAGCTTAGATACTTATTTCCTAATGCTTTATTTATTTATTTAATTTTGAGCATTTTGGTGTTCCACACAATGCAGGAACACTTGGTCTGTCTGAAGGTCTTGGCCTAAAGCTTTGACTCGATGTGCCGGTTCATATTTTGGGAGGTGCGTTACAGTAAATGTGGTTAGAGATAGAAAGTTTGAACAAACTGGACATTTTGAGACACTAATCATGGCTGCCATAACACCAGTTCACCGTGTACCACTTATCCTCATGTCAGTTTTCTAACCCTTGATTTGGACTTATTTTGACATTTAAACGAATGTGATTTTTTTTTTCTTCTGAATATTATATCTTAGTTTAAACTCTGACGTGAAAGTTAAGCAGTGCAGGGGCTTTAAATAATGAAGCCCATCACTTTAGCCCCAGCTACCTCCTAACAGGAGGAGTGGCTGAGGTCACACCAGAGTGGGTACTTCACATGACAGAAGAGTTTTCATTCAAACGTTAGGGCACTTTGTGGCACTTGGACTGACGAGACGTTTAGATATTCAATCTGCTCAGTGTAGTATCTGGATTTGGTAACAGTACATGAAGGTTCACAACAGTTTTACCCCTCTGACATCTGAACGGGTCTCGCTGAAGATGAGTTTGGTACTTCGGTAAAGAGCCTGAAGTGACTCGTCCGTCCTCTCTGTGGGAGTTTATTTCAAACGGACAGCCTTTTCATTGTTACCCTGCTGCCTTGCTGTTAGTCTCCAGCACATGCTAGCAGGGATCTTGTTTGTATGGCAACATACTGGTTGTATTTATTTCAAGATTTGTGTGAAGTGATGTCCTGGGAGTGATTCATGCAGCAGAATGACTCGTTCTGTATATTCCTGCTGCTATAGAGACGTCCTCAGCTCAGATGCTCACCAGCTGTATCTTAACGTTTAAACAGCAGACAGATAAATTATTTTATCCTTTTACTTTAAGCTCTCCTGTTCCATGTCTGTTTTACTGTCTCTGAGATGTAGAGCTGCTTTGTTGTTTTATTTTAAAATCTTGGGTTTTTTTTTTTTTAGACCAGTCTGATTAGATCTGAGCTTTCTTTTTATGAACCGGTGTTATAAAACCACCGGATGATTGCTGCCTTCAGTGACTGTACAATCTAAAGTAATGCATGTGTATTACTGAGCCATGAGACCAGCTACAAATAATCCATGAAGAGGAGCGGAGATCAATGAGTCTTTTTATTTTTTGCCTCTTGTTATTCACCCGCTGTGACTCAAACAACATCCGGTCTTACGCAGCTATTCATTCTTAAAGGGAGAATATTTTTCCAGGTTTTTCTGTTAGAACAGGAAGTACTTGACAAAGACTTCCTTTGAATAATGTTCTATTGATTGAAAGAGTAAAAACTGATTATTGTATGAGTTTGCTCCTTAAAGCAATGAAAACTAATATATTGTCTGCATTTTTGGAACTTGGGTTGTTTTATGGGTTTTGCCTCTAATCCTCCTGCAAAATGCCCCATGATGCCTTAGCTTTAACAATGAGGCCACGTGGGTTATTTTACTCAAGAAGAATGTTTAGAAAAGCTCCTTCTGTGACAACCTTTGTGTTATAAACTTTGTATTGATGAAAATGCTGAGCACGATCCGATTTGTTTAAATTTTCTCAGGCATTTCCATAGAACCGATGAGGAATCCTGAGAAAAAAACCTGGAAAATAAGTAATTTCATATGTTTAAAAAAGATTTTTACGGTGGACCTAAGGTGTAAATGAACAACATTTGAAAAAATGGAATTACTTTTGAAAATCTGAATCGCATTTGAACAAACGGAAGGAGGAACAATGTGGGTTCCGTCCTGGCCATGGAACACTGGATCAACTCTTTACCCTCACTAGGGTCCTTGAGGGATCATGGGAGTCTGCCCATCCAGTCTACATGTGTTTTGTGGACTTGGAGAAGGCATTCAACCGTGTTCCTCAGGGTACACTGTGGGGGGTGCTCTGTGAGTATGGGATTGGGGGCCCGTTGTTACGGGCTGTTCAGTCCCTATACAAGCGGTGCGAGAGTTTGGTTCGCATTGTCGGCAGTAAGTCGGACCCCTTCAGGGTGGGAGTTGGACTCCACCAGGGCTGCCCATTGTCACCGATGCTGTTCATAACTTTTATGGACAGAATTTCTCGGTGCAGCCAGGGGGCAGAGGGAGTCCGGTTTGGTGGCCCCAGGATTCCATCTCTGCTCTTTGCAGATGATGTGGTCCTGTTGGTGTCATCGTGCCGTGATCTTCAGCTCTCACTGGAGCAGTTTGCAGCCGAGTGTGAAGCGGCTGGGATGATAATCAGCACCTCCAAATCTGAGGTCATGATCCTCAACCGGAAAAGGGTGGATTGCTCTCTTCAGGTTGAGGGTGAGGTTCTGCCTCATGTGGAGGAGTTCAAGTATCTTGGGGTTTTGTTCACGAGTGAGGGAATGGAGTGTGAGATTGACAGACGGATTGGTGCAGCATCTGCAGGATTGCGGCCTCTGTACCGGTCCATTGTGGTGAAGAGAGAGCTGAGTTGTAAGGCAAAGCTCTCCATTTACCGGTCAGTCTACGTTCCTACCCTCACCTATGGTCATGAGCTCTGGGTAGTGACCGAAAGAATGAGATTGCGGATACAGGAGGTTGAAATGAATTTTCTCCGCAAGGTAGCTGGACTCTCCCTTAGAGATAGGGTGAAAAGTTCAGTTATTCGGGAGAGACGGAGTAGAACTGCTGCTCCTCCACGTCGAGAGGAGCCAGTTGAGGTGGTTCGGGCATGCCCCCTGGGCGCCTCCCTAGAGAGGTGCTTCGGGCATGTCCAACTGGGAGGAGACCCCAGGGAAGACCCAGGACATGCTGGAGAGACTATGTCTTTCGGTTGGCCTGGGAACGCATTGGAATCCTCCCAGAAGAGCTGGAAGAGGTGTCTGTGGAAAGAGATGTCTGGGCCTCCCTGCTCAAGCTGCTGCCCCAGAGACCCGACTTCGGAATAAGTGGAAGATAATGGATGGATGGAATTGTGTTTGAAAAAACAGAATTACATTAAGCCAAACAGGAATTTTTTATTTTATTTTATTTTATTTTTTTTACTTTATTAACAGCATAAAACTTGTTTGGCTTAATGTACCGGTAATTCCGTTTTTTTAACGTAATTCTGTTTTTTCTAATGTAATTCTGTTTTTTCAAATATTGTTCATTTACACCTTAGGGCCACCGTAGATTTTTCTCCTTCGTGTCAACAGTTTTTCTAGTAATCATTTATGGAGTTTATTTGTTTTTGGAAAGTGATTAAAAAAAGGCGGGTGACGGTGTTTTACCCATGTTTGTGTGTGGCTGTCTGTAAAAAAAAACTCACAAATCACTGGGAAAAGTGCAATGAAACTCAGAAAGTAATAGATGAATGTCTACAACTAACTATTGGAGTCACTTAAATTCAAGATGGCCGCCACAACTAGCTGACCTCAAAAAACACAGAAATGGCAATTAATAAATCCGTTTTAAAAATATGGAGCTTGGTGCGATTGTAGCTGACAGGCATCTCCATTACACACTCAAAATGCTGTTAACCGTTATCGTTACTGGTACTTTGTGTGTTAGCAAAATATTT